GTGTGTGTGTGTGTGTGTGTGTGTGTGTGTGTGTGTGTGTGTGTGTGTGTGTGTGTGTGTGGTGTGTACGTAGTACGTAGTAGTACGTAGTACGTACGTACGTAGTACGTAGACGTACGACGACTAATATATATATATATATATATATATATATATATATATATATATATATAGAGAGAGAGAGAGAGAGAGAGAAAGAGAAAGAGAGAGAGAGGTTGAGCGAGAGAGAGAGAGAGGGCGAGCAAGAGAGAGTGGAGGGAGAGAGAGGCGTATAGAACCCCTCCCCCAACCCTTACACGAACGCAATTACACTATAGCAGGTAAGATACGGTAAATCACTAAATGCTGCCTAATATACCCAGGACCATTGTAACAGTTGTGATATTTTTCGCTGTTCGTATCTTCATTTTCTTAAGCATCATATCTTTCGCGGTTCAAAGGTTGCTATTGACGAGTCTGGTGTCTGACTTTATATAGGTTGTAATGTGCTGGCGTGTGCGCTTTCATTTTATTTGTGGTTGCTCTCGTCTGATTTAATTTATTGCCAGTATTCCGATTCCATCGGTTTTGCGCATGTGTATAGATGAATATCCAACGTATTGAACTTTTATTGTAATCTAAACTTATATACAAATCGAAGCTTGGCAAAAACAAGCACAGTTTGTGTATAGCGTTCTAGATCTATTCTTTATGCCTATCGTCTGAGCAAATATTCCTTTAGTCGGTTTTTAGTCTGTATATTCGTAAACACGGTGCCTCGATACGCGTCATATGTGCTCTGCGTGCATGCGTCCGTGTGAGAGCCTGGGTGCGTGCGTGCTCGCCTGAGTGCGTGCACACTCTGGCATCAGTGATTCGCGGTAATCCATCGTTTAGACCAGTTATTGTTTGACAGATCGAGCACGTACAATATCGGACAGTAAGTCGGAATTAATCCGTTAATAGACAGTGTACGTGCACACAGATGAGTCAACATCGATCAGACATTCTGACGTTTACGTCGACAGCGATTCGTGTGCTCGTACATCTATCATGTCGTTGTATGTAACTATAGATACCCTTCAAAAATAAGCCGCCCTCATGCAGCAGATGTAGAAGATATTCGTATCATCTTGCAAGCGTGCGTTCGTGCGCGTGTGCGTGCGTGTAGTTATATTTGGATAAAACTAATTTATAATCAATGATGAGACAACAAGAATAGCACATCTCTGCGTGTTTGTCGTAACTGTCACGTCTGAGAATCTCATAAGAGTAATCGCATACACTCTTCTCTCAACCAATTCATCGCATTTATCTAGTGAGATTACGCGAACCGCACGAAATCTCCGGCACACTGAATTTATCGGAAGCACAACTCAAGACGGCGGCATATACCTCCTGCGTGAGCGGGCGTGATGGTAGCAAGCGATGAGTGACGCCATACATCTGCTGTGTTATAAACAGCCGGGATTTATTCATACTGCTTACTGCAGCGATTGCGTGTTCAATCATCATCTTCTTTTCTACGCGGGCTCTGTACTCGCTATACATATATATTCATATACGCAAGGTTTCTCTCTCTCTCTCTTTCTCTCTCTCTTCTCTCTCTCTCTTTCTCTCTCTCTCTTCTCTCTCTCTCTCTCTCTCTCTCTTTTCTCTCTTTCTCTCTCTCTCTCTCTCTCTCTCTCTCTCTCTCTCTCTTCTCTTTCTTTCTCTCTCTTCTCGCTCTCTCTCTCTCTCTCTCTCTCTCTCTCTCTCTCTCTCTCTAGTCGATTATGCAGTTGTTAATTCTCAAATGCACGCGCGCGCACACTCCCACACACATACACACACACACACACACTCCCAATCACGGCGCACCCGTCGGTTTCGTCAAGTTCCGTGTCTCGTCCCAAACTGTCGCCACTCTGCGTATTCTCCACACCGCACCACCCAGCCACGCAGACTTCCTAGCCCCCGCTCACGCGCACGCTCGCACCGCGCACGCCAACGCGGCTACCGTCCACTCACGCACAGCGCGCCAGCACACCACCTAGCTAGGCGGACTATATCCACAAGCAACGCACTCCGCACACGCAACCACACACACCACACACAACTCCGCACACACACACACAACACACCACCACACACAGACATATATATATATATATATATATATTATATATATATATATATTATATACGTAGTTGCCGGCATGCTGTGAAGATGAAACTTCGCAAATTCACGCTCACATTCAAATTACATCAATGACACGCCGCGTGCGTACAACTTCTGCATCATATGTAGCTATATGGTTAAGCAGTTTGTATTGCCACACTCGTGTATGTTAATGTAGCATGCTCATCATATCTAGGCAGCCTTCCTTGCTGACCGCTGTCGTTGAAAGAATGATGTTAAAATAACGGGGATGGCGGGACATCTTGCAAATGCATTACCGGACGTTTTCGCCCCTCCGAGTCTTTGATGGGATTGCTAAATGACAGGTCCTGTCTGGCAACGTGTGATTAGCGTCTGACTTCACGCTGCAGCACGTAAACAGTGCAATGAAACGCGTTAGCGTGGCTATAGCGAAAATCCGCAACTGTATTTTTCAATCGTCATACGATTTAGTGCCAAATTCTGATCGCATTCCGAACAAGTTCCGGGTTTACATTCTACTGGTAGTGTCATGTTTATGAGAAGCTTTCTTCTTCTTCTTCTTCTTCTTCTTCTTCTTCTTCGTCGTCGTCTTTTTCTTTTTTCTTTTTTCTTCTTCTTCTTTTTCTTTTCTCTCTTCTTTTTATTATTATGATTATAATTTATATTATCTCAGAGTCAACGTCAAACTCAACAGCGGGGCAGTTGTATGCCTTATAGTCAGGGTAATGTATTCAAAACGGAAACTTATTGCTCTATTGTGTAGCATCGTTGCAAAGGCATTAATCATGATGATGAAGGCTATAATGTGAATCCAAGCGTGTACACAATGTTGCGCTGTTCAATTTGTCACATAATAGTCTAGTACACATATTGTTACTTGTAGGTATACATTCGTTATCACGTGATACAGTCATGAATAGTCTCGTAAATTCGTTAACACGAGATACACTCACGTGATTATTATTGACCAATGGCAACAAAGCACTGACGTGTGGTTAGTCCGAAGCGCGCTAGCAAGGTCGTTGGGTTGATTCTGCTGCACAACTTATATGCTAACAAACAGATATTAATGGCGAGACGCACCAAATTGATCTACAAATTGGATGTGCGAGAAATAACATGGCAGAGTTCATGCATATCGTATCGGCTGCTCCTCGCCATTTTTTCCGAAAGATGCGCCTTTCTTTCCGCCGACACTGATCTTTTTTGTAGCAGCGCTGCATTCAATGAATTATTCCGAAATATATGTCGATGGCCTGAGGCAAAACATAGTTCTGAAATGAAATGCAACAGATACTACTTAGTAGTGATTCCATGAGAGATACTAGCTGCTGCCTAATAATAGTATTATAGCCTACAGATAGAGATACGTACGATATCTGTTACTTGCACTCACGCGTCCTTCTCTACTATAAAAACCCACACTGCAACACAAAAGCGCCCACGCTAGTGCCGACGAAGGCGTCACCTACATTGATTAGTTAAAATACAAGGTAAGCGTTCTCCAACGCTGTTTGCATTAGTGAGCGTGCCATTAGGCCCATCTGTGAAGCACGAAGCGTTCGATTTCCTCGCTCAAGGGTACGCCAGCCATGAGGAGTCTAATTCGCATGTCGTGTCAATCATAGCCCCCGTGATCATGGGATTTGTGTTTGCGATGAAGCCTGCAGTGTGTTCGGGCGCTTACATTAACACAGGAAGGAGAATATGATCCCTGTCGCAAACCGGATCTCTCACGTTGTTACAGGTTATACGGACACGCTAAACCGCTTCATTTTACTTGTCTAATAGGCACTTTCTCCAGATTTATGTGACAGTCGCTGCTGCATAAAATAACCACATTATATATGTCAATGCAAAAAGAAAAGAATTCAAGATTTCTTCGAGATTTTGTTTGCATACAGAATCGATTTATAGGGTACGCATAGAGTTATAAATGTTCTAATGTTTCTCATGCAGTTAATGTTTCGAAACGTGGAAAATAGAACTAAAAACATAAAAGCAAACCGTTTCAATGGCGCTAACCGACAATAATAAGTAATTGCGAAAGTTAAAACTTGCTTTCCGGAACGAAAGCGATTTCTAAACGAAATTCTCACGGCGATCTTACACCGGTACAATTGGAAAAGCTTGGAAATCACAGAATGCCAAATGATAGCATATTATCGCTCATATTCGTTTTCTCACTACCTCGCTGTTTTGCTCTCTTGCTGCCTCGCTGCCTCGCTGTCTCTTTCGCGCACTATATCTCCCCTTCCCTCTCTCCCTCCCTCCCAGGGCCCGATGTAGACATGTGGAGGCCCATGGGCAGCCATCATTTGTGGAGGCCCACCCTACCTTAGAAAGAATACTAAAAACTAAAAGATAACAAGACATAGATACATATCATGTGTATAGGGCTATCTTGCAAAATAAAAAAGTTAACTGCAATAAGAGAGAGAATATTGGCTACGTTGAACCGTTGGTACGTTTCCTCCTGTAGTTGACTATACCATTCACAAACAAATACAATATGGGTTATGCCGCTATGTCTTACGTATGTAAGATGTAAAATGCGCACAACAACGGTTTGGTTTTGATTGATACGGGTTGCGTGCATGTTATTCAAGTCAGCCTATATTTTTCCTTAACAATTTTTTTAAAATCAAATATGTGGAGGCTCTTGGTTTGTGGGGGCCCGTGGGCAGCTGCCCACTCTGCCCACTCCTAAATCGGGCCCTGCTCCCTCCATCGCTCCCTCCCTCCCAGAGAGAGAGAGAGAGAGAGAGAGAGAGTAGAG